ACCCCTAGTTTCAATGAGGCAGATCATCTAATGCACTTAGCATAATGCCAGTGGCCCAGTGTCCTGCTTAACTATCCATAATCTCTTGGACTTAACAGTCCATGTCATGAGCGTATCAGCTCCAAAGGGAATCTCTGTTCACCTCAGACGTCAACATCTCGACTGAAACTGCTTTGACCTCAGTGAAGTAAACTACTCTAAGAAACTCCACAGCTCAGAGCCCGCATCACCCACTGCCCTATACTCAAACACATTCACATGAACTGAAAAAACACACAAGCCATTTTATTATCAATTATAAATAATCTATCATCTACCTTTAGAATGCTGGTATGATATATTGTTTAATATTAGAGCGAGATAAAGCTGAAGTTAGGTCACTGGAGGACATTCTTTTAATTTTCTCCCACACATTTTTTGATGAAATTCCAACTCTTAGAATCACATTTCACAACACTTGCATTATGTTGGAGTTTGGATTATCAAAATAGTAATTGATTATTGAAAAACCTTGGAATTAAATCAGTTCAGCTTTAAAGTGAACAGAACAGAGCCTGTTGTGCGCGCACAGCCATTAACTTGAGCATGTGCTTACCGACAAAAAAAAAAGTTTTAGTGCCATTGGAAAGCTCATATACACCTCATTGTATAGAGTCGTTTGACCTACTGTAGATAGCACAGGAGTGGACAGTTGTCGTCTGACTGGTATCAGTTTGGTTATTTAATGCTGTATTCTCTGCAGTGTGTGTGACCAGTGGCTGAGCAGAGACGGGTGTGTCTTTGGGATGTGAACGATGTGACTGCTACTGTGTGCAGCTGGATACCTCTGGAATGTGGGAGGAACAAGCTCATGGAGTCCAATATGCTAGCTTGATAGCTGTACACTAAACTTGTATGTATAGCAAAATCCTAAGAATATGGGAATTGTAGAACTTGACTCAAAACTGCAGCTCCACTAGAATGTTGTAATAACATGAAAGTGCTTGGAATGGCAGGCATCTGATTTGGTGCATTTACTAAGCGCCAGCTGCAGCGAGGCTGAGAAAGTAGGTCATGGGAGTCTGGGCTGCTCAGTGCTGTGTCCGCCTGCTATAGTGCTCTTGTCGCACCCACATGCACAACACACATGCATGAATAATACAGAGCACTGACCCACACGCACGTCCCACTCACACTAAAGCAGAAGTGATTTACAGCCGTTGAAAGCTACTGCTGACAGGCAGGGCCCTGGTCTCGGCCGGAGGAGGTAAAAATAGAGGACAGGGCAAGAGAAAAAGTGACCAATGCAAAGTCAACTAGTGCAAAAACAAAGAGTAAATGGTTGTGCTTTGCCCATTTTTTAAGCACAGGATTGGCTGACAATTATCCCCTTTCGGAACTATCAACACACATTTGTCCAACGGCATTTGAACATGGCAATATTTTGCTCCAGTGACTACCCCTAAAAGCTGGGGTTAGACCAGGCAATGTTTGCTACAAATCATAATAAGTATGAGTAGTAGCGACAGAACAGTCTATGTCATTACTTGTGGCCTATAAACAGGATTCTGTGCTTGTGTCCAAGCTGGTCAGACGAAGGAGGAAATGCCAAGCTAAAAACAAATGTTACATAAGACAGTCTGACTCGGCATACTCCAGGATATCCAACAGAAGAACCATCTTTATTCTCTGCATGAGGATGTTGATCACATGATGCCAAACTTCAGTCATTCATTCAGAAACACATTCCTTATTCTAAGCATAATCATAATTTCAAGCAAGTTTGATGCAGAGAAAAAGCTAATTTACAAATCACAATAAAAACAATGAAGACAGTATTGTAATGGTTCTGATTCTTTACATGAGAACCACCTTTTCTTATACCTATCCAAATTATTATTTTTTATAGTATACTATACCATATACAAATAATGCATTCTTAAATAACATGTGATCAAGCAACTTCTGCAAAAAGATGGAAGAAAATCAAAATGCATTGATTGTAGCCTACAAGTTGATTTCCTGGATGCAGGTCAACCGAGCAGTAAAATATAGACGGCCTGGATATTAAAGGCTGCTTATGAGCTTTTGTTGTAACTCCCTGCAGGCTTCATCTAAGCTGTAGGGAGAGGGCGACAGCACGTCACAGCTCTGGTCGTTGCAGGCAGCCGTGGCGTGACAAGCCTGATGACCTGATGTGACAAAGGTTCTTCATCACAAGATAAAAAGAGCCAAGAGTACAGAGCCGATCCCAGCAGAAATACACAACTACATAGAACAACGTTAACCAAGCCCTAGCCTGCAGATGTGGAAAAGTCCAACTTCCAAATATTGCGTGCAATTTTTGAGACAACACCTGAAGTTGATGAGAGCCTGTCTAACAAGGTTACACAGATGAATTAATAAACACAAAACACACAAAACACTTTTGGATCATGTGACTCTCCAGTTACTCACAACAGGGCCTCACAACCAATATACCTATTGCTTACAAGCCTATAAGCAAGAGCCAAACAAAAGGCACTCTGTACATGGCAGTGGGGAGTAAATACTGGTGGACAAGCCATCTTAGACTCAGTAGTACAGAAGTGTAAAAGTACATACAGTGCCTTGCGAAAGTATTCGGCCCCCTTGAACCTTTCAACATTTCGCCACATTTCAGGCTTCAAACATAAAGATATAAAAAATATTATTTTTGTCAAGAATCAACAAGTGGGACACAATCGTGAAGTGGAACGAAATTTCTTGGATAATGTAAACTTTTTTAACAAATAAAAAACTGAAAAGTGGGGCGTGCAATATTATTCAGCCCCCTTGCGCTAATACTTTGCAGCGCCATCTTTTGCTGCAATTACAGCTGCAAGTCTCTTGGGGTATGTCTCTATCAGTTTTGCTCATCGAGAGACTGCAATTCTTCCTTGCAAAACAGCTCGAGCTCAGTGAGGTTGGATGGAGAGCGTTTGTGAACAGCAGTCTTCAGCTCTTTCCACAGATTCTCGATTGGATTCAGGTCTGGACTTTGACTTGGCCATTCTAACACCTGGATACGTCTATTTGTGAACCATTCCATTGTAGATTTGGCTTTATGTTTTGGATCATTGTCCTGTTGGAAGATAAATCTCCGTCCCAGTCTCAGGTCTTTTGCAGACTCCAACAGGTTTTCTTCCAGAATGGTCCTGTATTTGGCTCCATCCATCTTCCCATCAATTTTAGCCATCTTCCCTGTCCCTGCTGAAGAAAAGCAGGCCCAAACCATGATGCTGCCACCACCATGTTTGACAGTGGGGATGGTGTGTTCAGGGGGATGAGCTGTGTTGCTTTTACGCCAAACATATCGTTTTGCATTGTGGCCAAAAAGTTCAATTTTGGTTTCATCTGACCAGAGCACCTTCTTCCACATGTTTGGTGTGTCTCCCAGGTGGCTTGTGGCAAACTTTAAACAAGACTTTTTATGGATATCTTTGAGAAATGGCTTTCTTCTTGCCACTCTTCCATAAAGGCCAGATTTGTGCAGTGCACGACTGATTGTTGTCCTATGGACAGACTCTCCCACCTCAGCTGTAGTTATCTGCAGTTCATCCAGAGTGACCATGGGCCTCTTGTCTGCATCTCTGATCAGTCTTCTCCTTGTTTGAGATGAAAGTTTGGAGGGACGGCCGGGTCTTGGTAGATTTGCAGTGGTCTGATACTCCTTCCATTTCAATATAATTGCTTGCACAGTGCTCCTTGAGATGTTTAAAGCTTGGGAAATCTTTTTGTATCCAAATCTGGCTTTAAACTTCTCCACAATAGTATCTCGGACCTGCCTGGTGTGTTCCTTTGTCTTCATGGTTCTCTCTGCGCTTTAAACAGAACCCTGAGACTATCAAAGAGCAGGTGCATTTATACGGAGACTTGATTACACACAGGTGCATTCTATTTATTATCATCAGTCATTTAGGACAACATTGGATCATTCAAAGATCCTCACTGAACTTCTGGAGTGAGTTTGCTGCACTGAAAGTAAAGGGGCCAAATAATATTGCACGCCCCACTTTTCAGTCTTTTATTTGTTAAAAAAGTTTAAATTATCCAATAAATTTCATTCCACTTCACGATTGTGTCCCACTTGTTGTTGATTCATGACAAAAAATTAAAATTTTATACATTTATGTTTGAAGCCTGAAATGTGGCAAAATGTTGAAAGGTTCAAGGGGGCCGAATACTTTCGCAAGGCACTGTATATGTAACAGGATCAGAGGAGCGCAAGACAATTTTAAAACAAATGCATCACTTGGCTGCCTGATGAATGTAAAATCAGGGATAGGAATTGACAAAAATGTGACGGTTTTATAGTATTGCAATATTTGGGCCACACTTCAATACCTAAGATATTGCAATACAGCAGTATACAACAGTATTTCAATTCGATTAAATATATTGCGATTTATGTCCCTCATACTATTCAAAAGGATTACAAAATTGAGGAAAATAAGACTGCTCAACCCAAGTGTCACATTTATAACGGTCTGGTTGTTTGTACTTTATAAATTGTTTTCTTTGCAGGAATTTTATCCAGCCGAGCATTACATCCCATTAATCACAGCCTGTTAAATTTAAGTATTGCCATGAAATGTAATGTTTTTCGAAAATTAAGGATCACTTCTCCCAAGCTGAGGACATTTAACATTTTTTACACCCGTTTGGTTGGTTTGGTTTCTTTGGATTTAAAATATATATTATTTCCACATTTGCACTTACATTCCATGAAACACTCATGCGTTAGGAGGAACACTTGACAATAACCAACATTACCTGTTTTTATTATCACTGCATTATCCATCTGATATTTCTGTCATTCACTAGTCACTTCACCTGTTGATATTATTACTGATGTTTATTCTGCTCATATTCTCCGGTGCTAAAGTAATTAGATATTTTGAAGGAACCATTTATATTATGCTGTAAAAATATATAATGTAGAGTAAGAAAAACTATGTTCAAACAAACTGGATTTGTTTGTGTGCAGCATGGATACATACCTGGTAAAAGACGAACTGGAGAAGCTCTCACTTCCTTGAAGGATTCCTGAATTGTCACCATTTCCTTGGACTCTGTTCCAAGCACTATTGACTGTAGTGACTGGTAGGTATAATGTAGTGACAGGTTTTTGATCTTTCGGCTGCCGTGTTTCATTGCTCACTCCAAAATGAAAGCTCTGACCTCCTGATGTGCTAACCCCACAAATAGAAATAGGGTTAGATCTGGAGGATGTGCCACTGATTTGACAATAACTCTGCCCAATAGATGTCTTTTCTTGCTTTATCACCCCAGGAGTGCTCAGCTGAATGACCCCAGTGTCTTTCTCCTTTTTCACAGAAATAGATAAACTGGATGATGGTGTCAGAGGGGAAATTATGGATGTGCTAGCACTCGTCAGGACGGGGCTAGTTACATTACTGCCATTAAGAGCAACTGTGCTACTGCTATTGCTGCTCTCAACAGGAGTTGATTTAGTGTCTCTGTCGGAGTTGACATCTCCAAGCAAAGAGTCTTCACCCAGAGTAGAGAGGAAAGCATCGTCCCCAACATAAAAATCTGAGGGTGACCCAGTGAGCTCAAAGTCCTGAAGGAGATCCAAAGTGTTATCACAGAATAACTTCTGGTTTATGTCCATATCTTTCCCAATATGGTCAAATTCATGATCAAAGTCAATAGGATCTGGTTCTCCTTTATCCATTGAGAAGTCAGTTTTCAAAGGGAAAAAGTTTGGATCTGACCCTCCTATGAGGGAATCCATAGCAGAGTGGGCGCTGTCCTGGGCTCTGGATCCTAAATGATTTTTCCGATCTTTGGTTGGGCCTCTGGGGTCTTGGTCACCTGAGCCAACTGTACTTGTGACTGAAGGAGAGGAAAGGCTTTCTGTGGGAGGGCTGTTGCTAAAGCCGTTTGGGACCTGTCCTGGATGCATCAAGGGACTTGGAGGAAGTATTATAGAGGCTGCAGAAGTGATGGACATGGCACGGGGGGGTGCCACTCTTAACAGGCCTCTCTCCTCGGAGCCCTCAGTGTAGACCAGTTTACTCAAAGGGTCATCTCTATAAATCAGCTTCTTTACTCCTCCTCTGTCCATCTGGATAACAAAAATGAAAGACGTATACAAAACAATGGCGTAAGTGTCAAGTAGTAGTTGCACAAGTACAATTATGATTTGACATGGGGATGATATTCAATATGCTTGCAAAGCAAATATAGTGTATTGTAAAGTGTTCTTCCTTATGTTTGTGTAAAGTTTGCAAGCTTCTCCTGCGCGCCCTTGAGCTAATGCTACTACAGACGTTTTGCATGCTTAATTGCAAATCGAAAACCATGACTGAATTGACAAACGCACTGTTCGTGGAATAATTACAAAAACAACTACCTGACAATAATTACTGTGGCGTAAATTACATCAAAAGTTGACGGGTGTATGCTAACGGTAGCATGTTGCTATGTGCTGGCATGGAATGTAGCATTGTGGCTAGAGTTAGCACAGCGCCTTCGTGCACATAATTCTTTCCGTGACAACGCTCAAGATGTTTTAGTAATTATTTGAGGTCGTACTTTTGACCAATTATTGAAAATATTGTATCTGCACGTACTAAACACATGCAGAGTGAAAAGGAAAATATTATACTTACCCTTCAAATGACTGGTTGATTTGTCTGCACAGGACGTCTGTCAACATTGTTTTGGTTGAAAGTGTTGTCCAAAACATACACTGAATATTTGTGAAAAAATAAAGATATTTTCCCTTAATAGTGGTGTCGCAGCTACATGGCAATAAACGCAATATCATGCTACATCACGCATAATATATTTAGTCTTGCAGCTTGACCTACCTTTCTGAGTGACAAAGTGTGTTAAACTGCTAAAGCTACGCAGAGGCGCAGCTTGCCATTAGGAAAGTAGCGCTAACCTCCAAGAAAACAGACAAAATGGAGAACCAGTGTGCAGATCAAGCCCCAATGTTTACATGGAGCACTGCCACCTGCTGGACATCTGTTGTCGATGCATATTGTGTACAACACTACACAATAAGAAGTGTACAAGAGCTGATTTAGTGTTGCTATTTAAAGGTGCATTCCTCAACTACCCTTAGGTTAATCAAAATCAAACTTTTAGGTTTAAAAGTAAGACGTCCACTTTGATTAAACATAGAATCTAAAACTGTTGGTTTTGGGCTGTTCTGGGCAATTAATTGGGGTTTGATATAAAGATAACCTTAATTTGGCATTGCAGCGAATATACAGTTCGTAAGAGCACTGTATCTTCGACTGTAAGACTGTAAGAGGACAAACAATCTCCAGAGATAAGTACATTTCTCTATTGTCAGGTCAATAAAATTATATCTTATCTTAAGTAGCTATGAATGCTTCTTAAATATCACAAAATCCTTAGATAGATTTATGTATAGGGTCAGTTAGCACAAGGGCTGAAAAAAGAACATATAGTAACATTCAGTGGACATTCTGAAATTGCAGTAGTTGCTATTTACAAATGAAATTACGTATGCAAAAAGCATCCATGTGGATTCACACCTCAGATACTTTAATGCCATTTGGCATTTTGTGACACAAGAAAACAACCTTTAAAGTAAACAACTGCATTCCAAAAGTTCAGAACTTTTTAAAAAGGCATTGCATGACTGTATCGATGGAGCTGAAGTTGGCTGGATGACACTGAAAGTACCTCAATAGCTATTTTGGGTAGGCAGGCAGGCCACATAACCCAACTTAGTTTGGACATGCCTGATCGTAATATTATGGTTTTGTCTGGATTACATTTGTAATTAAGCTTTTTTGTCCAACCAGTTAATATTAAAAGTAGACTACATGGTTTTGATTTTACATATGTACATATATATATATATATATATATATATATATATATATATATATATATATATATATATATATATATGTATATTGTGGCGTACTATTCATGCTGAACTTCAAATTCAACCTTTCCAAAAAAATATATGTATAGATTTTTTGTTCCAGGGAATGGAGCACAGACAGGAAATCAAATGAACAGGCTGGAAATGGGCTTCTATGGGTGGATGAGTGAGACCGATTAACTGCCGTCTTTATGGCATGAGGGATGTATTTGCAGATGGGGGCAGCCGTCCCAGACAGCAATCCATGTTGATGCATTTTTTCAATCCTTTTAGTATTCTTGCATGTTGTGAAATTGGTTGGCAGTAAGGTAATAATACACAAAATGTGCTTAAAAGAAGGACGCATACCTTTACTAACCTTAACTGCAATCCAGACATCTACATATGCAGGATGGTGGCTGAGGGCCAAGTGCTAACACCAAGCTTTCAGTTTATACTCCCAGCCTTCTCTGGTTTAAAATGCATACAGCAAATATTCATAAACATAGCAAACATAACAATTAACCGTTCATAAAAAGATTCTAACTTCTGAATATCTTTTTGCCTTTACTTTAAAAAAGATTTTTGGTAAACAACAGCAAAAGCAAAAGAGCTCACATGTAGATATTCAGAATTTTAACAACCAACAGGGTTTAGCCTGATGTTTAGTGGTCTGGCCAGCAGACGCACCTTTCTGTTTAAAAGAAGAAATTGCAACATTGCAACATTTACAAATAATAATTTCATTTATATTGTCTCCTTGCACTTGATTTGTATACAGTAATTTCATAAAAAAACTGCGTTAAGTTACATTCCAATAAATGTGAGCAATTGCAGCACAGTGTTTCTAAATCCCCACTGTTTGAATGAAACGCACTCAGTCCCTTTTGGCTGCTAAGCAACCCCTCTACTGCACAATATAGGCTACTCCGAATTAACAGGGCAAACCGTGACCGCTGCCTCCTCCAAAGAGTTAGGGTATTCTCCCATCATACGCCTCCAACCAGTGCGGCAAAACTGTTATATCAAATTATATTGTGAGAAAACATCAACTGGATTTCGAAATACAGTCAGTAAACAGATCTGTCCAGTTGGCAGATAACTGAGATTTGTTATATTTGCTGACTTTATTACACCTTACAACAAAAATAATGGCAGAGAATTTTGAATGTGTTTTTTTTGCATTACATTATATAAGGGCATGATTGTACTTTGCTGAGGAGAAAAGTCCTATTTAATGGCACAGGAGTGACGGAAGGGGTGCTATCCATGGTGCTGAATACAGTAGCCGCTCAATGATGTAAATTAAAAATATTTCAAAATTTTAATTCTTGAAATAAACCCACTTTCCAGAGAAAATGGAAACGTAAGGTATTAACGTTATACAAATATATTATTGCTGGAGGCTGTTAAACTTCCACAGAAAGATTGTGTTCAGCGACAGATGTGTGTCACAGACGCATCATTCTGCAGATAATTCTTCAACCAAGACAACATAAGCCAACCCCCTCTCCTCTCTTGGGATAAGCGTGTCAGCTCAACGCGTATAATGTGGACGCAAATGTCTCTTACGAAGACTCCAAAGAAGGGATTAAAGTGCACAGTGCTGGATGTTAGAACGGTATTAGATCTTCGACTGCACATGAACTGAATTCTGCGCACTAAGGCTGTATGTTTGAGTATCTGTGGAAGGCTATTATGTCTGCAAAAATGTATTTCCTTTAATTTGCACTGGACGGAACGATACTGGAGCATCTCCCACACAGCTGTCTGGGGAGATGGTTGCGCGCGAGTTCCAGCTTCAGTCTTCTAAGTGGAGTACATTTCACTCTCACTCTTTTAGTGCAGTGACCGGACGCGCACGCTGTGGTCGGATATTATTGGTACTGAGATCCAAAAAGCTGCTTCAGGTGAAGTTTAATGATGTTCATATAGGTTTGTGACTCTCTGTTTCTTTCTTTTCTTTATTTCTTTATTTTTGTTTTCACTCAATGGCATTTTAAAAGAAAAGAAGATTGTTCGATGCTTCTGTGAAGTCCCGGTGTGATCTTTTGCAGTGGATCTCTGTAACGCGATGCGCTCTTGGGTCTTTGATTATGACAATAATCGATCATTTCCCCCAAGGATGCACAGAAGCACGTCACTTTAAAACAAGGATTTACAGTTGTAACACCTCGGGACTTTTTGACGGACAAGTACTATAGCGCGCTGCACCATGCACATGCACAATACCACACACCCTGAACTTCTGTGGCGCCCCTTCCACGATTGTTAGACACCGATTTCCCTCGGAGTAGAGTCAGTGGACTAAAATGGCTCTAAGCGACAATTCTAAATCACAAACCGCACAGGATTCTCCAACAGATGTTGTTGAACTAAACGTGGGAGGGCAGGTGTATTACACACGCCAGGCCACCCTGACAAGCTTTCCCAATTCTCTTTTAGGAAAGCTCTTCAGCAAGAAAGGCTCAACTAATGACTTGTCCAAGGACTTCAGAGGTCGTCATTTCATTGACAGGGATGGATTTCTGTTCCGCTATGTACTGGATTATCTTAGAGACAAGCAAGTTGTCCTGCCAGACCACTTTCCAGAGCGTGGGCGCTTAAAAAGGGAAGCAGAGTATTTTCAGTTGCCTGAGTTAGTAAAGCTTTTATCTGCAGATGAGTCTAAACTAATTCAAGACGATTTGTGTTTGAGTGATTTTGATGACGCATCGCAGGGCAGTGAAAGATATTACTCCTCGTACTCTTTGGACAAGAGGTACGGCTATATCACTGTGCTGCTCAAAGGCGTGTGTGCAGCTGGAGCCAAAGACAGCGATGCCAAAGTTAAAAAGTTACCCCGCATATTCATCAGCAGCAGGATCGGGTTGGCAAAAGAAGTGTTTGGAGACGCTCTCAGTGAGAATAGGGATTTGGACAGACCAAGTTTAGGCATCTGGAACGGGCTTTCGACATGCTGTCGGAGAGCGGCTTTCACATTGTAGCCTGCAACACCTCCCTGACAGCGTCCCCACTTGGCCATTACGTGGATGACAAAGTCTGGTCCAATTACGCGCAGTACATCTTCTACCGTGAGTACGAGGTTACTTCATAAAGAAAAGCCATAGCTAAATGCAAATACAAGCCCAACGTATATTTTTCCACCTATATTTATTATCAGCAGAATAAGCATTTCTTATGGCACACCTAAAAAGGAGCTGGAGTCAGGAAAAACTTGCAACAGCAGGAGGCACAGTTTGACGCGAAACACCCGTCTGTCATTTCGTGCAGCGGCCTCTTTTAGGGCTCCAATCGTCTCCAAGTGACGTGCCCGCGGGACAGTATTGTTGACTCACAAACTGAAGTAGTTCGGTAAAGTCAGCTTGATATTCACAGATTCGGACTTCCGCCATGAATATCTCACGAAAGCAACGTTGTTAAACGAAAGTAATGGTGCCAAAATGATCACCTCTACTTAGGCTAACTACTACAACATCGATTTTTCAAATCCAATGCGCTGTTTTAATGCGGAGAAATCCATTCAATCCAAGTGCCGAGAAAAGCGCATAGGGAGCGTCAACAAGTATCAATACCAGCTTTGTAAACGAACAATAGCTGTTACTTGAAGCCATGTACACGCACAGAACTCTAGGACACAATAAATAACTAACACTTCTAACTTGTACAACCTTTGTTTTCAGCATTTGTCTCTTTTTTAATACTTTTTATGATTAAATATGATGAAATATGAATATAAATCTTGAATAACTTTTTTTCTAAAAGGGGCGTGGTCACCAAATTCTCAGGTATGATCAATAACTACCATATCTAACTACTACAACCTTTGTTTTCAGCATGTTTGTCTTTCTTATATTTTTATGATTAAATATGATGAAATATGACTACAAATCTTGAATAACTTTTTTTCTAAAAGGGGCGTGGTCACCAAATTCTTAGGTATGATCAATATCTACCATATCTAACTACTACAACCTTTGTTTTCAGCATTTGTCTCTTTTTTTATATTTTTTATGATGAAATGTGACTACAAATCTTGAATAACTTTTTTTCTAAAAGGGGCGTGGTCACCAAATTCTCAAATATATTCAATAACTACCATATCTAACTACTACAACCTTTGTTTTTTGTATTTTTCTCTTTTTTATATTTTTTGTGATGAAATATGACTACAAATCTTGAATAACTTTTTTTCTAAAAGGGGCGTGGTCACCAAATTCTCAGGTATGATCAATAACTACAATATCTAACTACTACAACCTTTGTTTTCAGCATTTGTTTCTTTTTTGTATTTTTTATTAATAAATAGGATTTAATATTAATATGAATTTTGAATAACTTTTTTTCAAAAAGGGGCGTGGTCACCAAATTCTCAGGTATGATCAATAACTACCATATCTAACTACTACAACCTTTGTTTTCAGCAGAAATATATTTTTGATGATTAAATATGAATATGAATTTTGAATAACTTTTTTTCAAAAAGGGGCGTGGTCACCAAATTCTCAGGTATCATCAATAACTGCCATATCTAACTACTACAACTTTTGTTTTCAGCAGAAATATCTTTTTTATATTTTTTATGATTAAATATGAATATGAATTTTGAATAACTTTTTTTCAAAAAGGGGCGTGGTCACCAAATTCTCAGGTATGATCAATAACTGCCATATCTAACTACTACAACCTTTGTTTTTAGCATTTCTCTTTTTTTTATATTTTTTATGATTAAATATGACTAAAAATCTTGAATAACATTTTTTCTAAAAGGGGCGTGGTCACCAAATTCTCAGGTATAATCAATAATTAAAATATCTCATGGGTTTGACCATGCAGGTGGAGGTTTGGAGCCTCGGCTTCCTCTCTCCTCATGGTTCAGAGTCGTCTCCTGCTTCAAGAGGCTCTCTGTTTCTGATTCAGACCACTCCTCAGATTGTGCTTCCTCTGCTTTTTTCATGTGTGTGCGTGTGTTTTCTGAGGGTTGTGGTATTGTTTACTTGTTTGTTAACACTTGTTTGTGTTACATCCTTGTTATTATTATTATTGACACGTGAAGGTCAGATAGAGAGTATAAGCACCAGTAAGACCTAACCCCACCTCTCATGGGCACAATGATTTAAACTGATAGATGAGGCCTCTCACCATTAGTCTATAATCTCAGCCTTATTTTACTGGTGGTGGTCATGCCAAGGGAAGGAATTGTTTTAAACCTATTATTTATTATTCACATGTTTTTCAAATATTCTGCAATTTAAATATATATGTATAAAAAGAAGATATTTCGTTTGTATAAAAATGAATGTGTAAGCACTTAACATTACAACTACAGTGATGATGGTGGTGGTGGTGATGGGGACGATGGGGGGGCTGTCTGGTTACGTGGCGTATACCTATGTGTGCTTATGGGTGAGCATATGTACATTTATATCTATAATAATAATCCTACACCTGTTCTTCCTTTCATTTCATATATAATAATAGCATAATAATAATGAATATTAGTGTATATGTATATATATACATATATATATATTAGGGCTGTCAAACAATTAAATTTTTTTAGTTGATTAATCGCATAGTAATGGTGAGTTAACTCACAATTAATCGCATTTTTAACATTCTATTTCAAATCCACTCCAATTGAAGTTAAATGAGATTTACAAATGTAATGAAACATTGTTATTCATACCAAATGTACTTAAATCTGTTTGAAGTAAGTAAGTAAGTAATGTTTATTTATATACCGCCTTTCACAGACCAGAGTCACAAAGCGGTTTACAATTGTTATTTTTGGGCATTTGTCTCTCACTCCACACAGAGATGGGAGCGGGGTCGCCGAAAAGGAGGCGCATGCCAGACCTATATTGTACATATCTTTAGCGGTAGGGGAAACCGGAGTAGCCGGAGGAAACCTACGCAGACACGGGGAGAACATGCAAAACTCCACTCAGAAAGGCCCTGGTCCGACCGGGATTCGAACTCTCTTGCTGAGAGGCTAGAGTGCTATCCACTCAGCCACCGTGCCGCCCAACCGTGTCTAATCATAAAAATATAAAAAAGATATTTCTGCTGAAAACAAAAGTTGTAGTAGTTAGACATGTTAGTTATTGAACATACCTGAGAATTTGGTGACCACACCCCTTTTTGAAAAAAAGTTATTCGAAATTCATATTCATATTTTATCATAAAAAATATAAAAAAGATATTTCTGCTGAAAACAAAGGTTGTAGTAGTTATATATGGTAGTTATTGATGATACCTGAGAATTTGGTGACCACGCCCCTTTTTGAAAAAAAGTTATTCAAAATTCATATTCATATTTAATCATAAAAAATATTAAAATATATTTCTTCTGAAAACAAAAGTTGTAGTAGTTAGATATGGCAGTTATTGATCATACCTGAGAATTTGGTGACCACGCCCCTCTTTGAAAAAAAGTTATTCAAAATTCATATTCATATTTAATCATAAAAAATATAAAAAAGATATTTCTGCTGAAAACAAAGGTTGTAGTAGTTATATATGGTAGTTATTGATGATACCTGAGAATTTGGTGACCACGCCCCTTTTTGAAAAAAAGTTATTCAAAATTCATATTAATATTAAATCCTATTTATTCATAAAAAATACAAAAAAGAAACAAATGCTGAAAACAAAGGTTGTAGTAGTTAGATATGGTAGCTATTTATAGTATTTGAGAGTTTAGTGCATGTACTTGGCTTAAAATAAAAACTATTGTTCGTTTACACAGCTGGCACATTGGATTCAATGGATTTCTCTGCATTAAAACAGCGCATTGGATTAGAAAAATCGATGTTGTAGTAGTTAGCCCATGTAGAGGTGATCATTTTGGCACAATTACTTTCGTTTAACAACGTAGCTTTCGTAAGATATTCACCGCGGAAGTCCGAATCTGTGAATATCAAGCTAACTTTACCGAACTAGCTGAAGTTTGCTGTATGCGTAATATGTAAACATGTGTTTTAGCTCAGATGCTGCCAGCTGCACATTGGTTATGAATAATCGCACGGAGGCCTCTTCACGCCTTCAAGTTTTTAAGTTTAATATGTTCATAGAAGCATGGTGCATATGTTCAATTATTAATCCCTCTGTATCCTCTTGGAAGAGGTAGACTAACGTTTGCAGTTTCAAGAGGACAAGACATATGGAAAGCACTAATGATTTAGCAATTGTTATTACGAGCTAATTATAGCACATGCAAGCAGCCAAATTGAGCAGCATGCTGTCCTGAGTCATTAAATTAAGTCATTATATCAGAGCACGGGATCTGAAGGATGGGAAAAGTCTAGGGGCGACAGTAGCTCAGTTGGTAGAGCATTGGCCTTAAGCCCAGAAGGTCGTGGGTTCAATTCCCACCTCTGCACCTTCTCCACCGACTCCCACTGATGACTGCTGTCGTTGTGTCCTTGGGCAAGACACTTGACCCCACTTTGCCCAAGGCCCCCGCTGAGAGATCAGGGCTATGCTCACACTCAGAGAGCAGCTGTCCTCCTGTGGACTCACCACCTGCAGAGGGTCAGTGAGGGGCTGGTGCTGTGAGACTTGGGTGGCATCTCTGATTGCCACCCCCCTGACCCAGAAATGGATTAAAGGGTAGAAAATGGATGGATGGATCTGAAGGATGGGAAAAGTCTGATGCAGAAAACACTAAAGCAAAACTCCTCTGTGGGAAGTGCACATACATTAGATGATTTGAAACAACTAAACATGTGCATTTCACAAGGAAACTTTGATTTGAAACTGCAATACCCTATATTAAATTAGTCTGGTTCCAGGGTGCTCTGTCTTTTAATATAATTATATCCATTTGACATCAAAAGTACTGTGAAAGTGACGAATGTCTTTATTAGTTTATAAGTAAATATCAAATAGCAATATTCTGTAGCAGCAGGCACAATGCAGGAGAGAAAATGATACATGTATGTTGTGTTTAAAATGTTATATATAAACGATGTAGTCCAGCTCTAGATGAGTATTTTCATGTCTGAACAAATGGAATGCAGCAATCCATTTTGAACCATCTTAAATGGTGGCCCTTCCCTTTCACATTATT